TTTTTATGTGCAAATTATCTTTCTAAGAGCAACTCCAACCTTGTCCCCAAAAATGGAAAAATTCCAAAAATGGGGATATTTCACTCCAACCCTCCCCCATTTTTGTCCCCAAAATGGGGAGTGAATAGTGTCTCCCCAAATTTGGGGACACACTATTCATCTCCCCACTTACTATTCTCCATTAAAATATTATTATTTAATCTTTTAATTTATCTTTTTATATATACTTAATTATGTTTATATAATATATTTACCTAATTAATTTTTCATCTTAACTTTGACGTATAATTTTGAAAGATTAATTATCGTGCATCTATTTTTTTAATGTAAAATTGATAGTTAATTTTATTATGAGTTATAATTAATCTTGTATCGCAATGATTTCACTTTTATTTGAATTATTAGTTAATATATAATAATTGCTTACAAATTATATTATTTAAAAGTTTATGGAATTGTTTTAATGGAAATTATAAATTAATAAAAATAAAAGATGGAATTTGTTTAATGGAAATTAAAAAATAAAACTGAAATGAAAGATAATAATATAATATAGAAGAGAGAGAAGAATATAAAAAAGAATATTCTCTTTTGGGGGAAAAATAGGGGAATAATTGGAGTAAGTTGTCCCCAAAATGGGGAAAGGACCAAAATGAGGGTAAAGGTTGGAGATGCCCTAATAAACTAACTTCTATAAAGTAAAGGCCATTGAACCAACTTGACAAAGGCAGTTCCTTGGTCGGAGTGTTCAAGTGGGCTCAGAATGTGTCGTAGTTCGAAACTCAGTTTTGCATTGTTCTTGTTTTTTATACTTTGAGAGAAGTTCATTTGTAGCCACTAGAGCCAAACTTATATCACCTAATAGCCACAAAATAACCCTTTGCAAGTCATAGCCTAAAAACAATAATAAAGGCTAGCAACGGAAAAAGCTGAAACCATAGGCTTAACTCAAACGAAAAGGAAAGCACTCCTAATCGATTTTGTTACCTAAATTCACGCGTTCAGTATGGGATCTTCAATCTCCAAACACTATAATAGTCTCCCAATTATTCACATTGTCAAAAATATTCTAGGGTTTTTGAAGATTAAACCCAGAGAAGAGCTCCAAAAAATTCACGGCGGAATTCAAAGTTTTTGCACAATTGCGGCCTACAATCAGCTTAATAGAGTTGAGATTTTGTTCTTAAATTGTGAAATTGATACAAAATCGACAAACTCAACTAATGTCTATGGAGATTGTGAATGTTGGAACTACTGTTCCAATTTTGATTTCGATTTTACTTCAACACAATGGTGAATGGGTAAGTAAAAGTAAATTTGTTAATTTCCTTTTTAATGGCGTGCTGATCAATTCGGGATGTAGCTATGAGTATTTGTTTGATGAGATATACAAGCAATTGGATATAGATTCAATTACAAGTGCGATGGAGATAAAATATACAACGAAGGATGGCTATATAGCAATTCCAATATACAATGATATGAGTGTGCGCTTGTATATGGAGATGAAAAAGAAAAACCTGGATATCACTGAATATCCATTATGCATAACGTTGAAAACTCTGTATTCAAGTGTTGAATGCTCATATTCAAGTTCATACTTGGGTGGCAACTTACTCGCAACAACTTCGGCTGGTTTACTATGTCAGAACGTAGAAGAAGTACACGGAACTAATATTGTTGAGATGATGGATAATCATGAAAAAGAAGACAAAATTGAAATAATAAAAAAAATTATATAATAGACAATCCACAACATGAAAAAATTGCATAAGGTCAGTTATATTGGGACAAAGATACACTCATTAGTGTAATGAAGCACTACGCAATACGAGAAAAATATCAATTTATAGTAGATAGATCATCTACAACAAGGTATGATTTCTACGTATGAGATTGAACTTCTTTGTAATTTTGTGTATACTGCTTGTATTATTGTATAATGAGATTGCATATGTATATTGCTTGTTTATTATAGATACAAGTGTAAAAATATGAAGAAGTGCATTATCATAACACTATATTTTAAATAGGTATTGTCTTAAATGCGTGGATGAAAGTTGCAAATGGAGTCTTAGATCTTCAAGTCTATACAAATCAAATGTCTTAAAGGTTAGATGGTTCAATGATGTTCACACTTGCCCAGAGACGAGTAGATTATTTTCACAACGCTATGCTACTTTGTCAGCCATTGCAAAAATGATTTGCAATAAATATGCCAATCCAAAAACAATATACACTCCGGCAAACATCATGAGCGACATGAAACAACAGTATGGGATTAATATGAGTTACGTAAAAGCTTATAGAACAAAGGAAAAGGCGCTTGAACTGCTAAGAGGGATACCACACGAATCTTATAGTAAACTGCCGGGTCACTTGTATATGATAAATATGACAAATCATGTTTCTGTCATAATGTTACATAAATCAGAGGACGAGCGCTTCATGTATGTTTTTGTCGCACTAAATGCATCAATCATAGGATGGAAATACTGCTACCCTATTGTAGTGGTTGACGGGACATTCCTCAAATCATCACACAGGAGAACAATGTTAACTGCTAGCGTACAAAATGCGGCAGGTGAATATGTCGCAGACTTGTATAATAATTATATATGGTATAGATAGTTCTTATCCATGTATAACAAAAATAACATGTGGATGCTTTCTTATTTGCTTAACCAGGTAAAATTTTTCCACTAGCATATGTTGTTGTCGATTCTGAAAATGATGCTTCCTAGGAATGGTTTTTTGAAATGTTTAGACAGGCTTTTGGGGAAAGAGAAAGGATGTGCATCGTATCCGATCGTCATGCAAGCATATTGAGGGGTGCTTCAACTGTGTATCCAGAGGTATCTCACTGTGTATGCATCTTTCATCTTTGGAATAACATAAAGAAGCAGTTCAAGAAGAACCATGACCGGCTGAGAGAAGTATTTTTTTACAATGGCCAGAGCATACAAAATTGAAGATTTTAATCGCCTCATGCAAGATATGGACAGCATTGATAAGAGGGTAAGGGGTTACCTGTTCCAAGTTGGTTTTGAAAAGTGGTCCATAGCGCATTCCACTGTTAATAGATCCATGGTGATGACTTCAAATATTGCCGAGTCACTCAATGCAAGAAACAGAGAGGCAAGAGAGCTACCAATCATGAGTTTTCTAGATTACATGATGAATTTGATTATGGAATGGAATAATACAAATAGAATGACTGCAATGAGTACATTTACTGGCCTAGGAAAACAATATAACGAAGTACTGAAGGAAAATAGCTATTTGTCGCAGAAGATGACGGTAAATATTCTTTTATCATGTCTTACTTCATACATTAATACTTGTCATATCCCTATTTTACTAATGATATCTATTTAAATTTAGCTGAGGCCTTCAACCGATTATGTATATGTAGTAATGGATGTTGAACAAAGGCGGAACATAGTATGCTTGCAAAAAAGAGAATGCCCGTGTAAACGATTTCAAGTGGATGAGATTCCTTGTCCACATGCTATGGCAGTATTGGACTACACACACATAGAAGCACCCAAATATTGTTCTTCCTATTACACCAACCAATACTTCAAGAAGACATATAAAGTGCCAGTTAATCCACTTCCAGATGAAACTACATGGGACTTTCCAACATAGGTGTTAGATAATGTGATGCTACCACCGATAATAAAGAGCAAATCAGGAAGACCGACGAAGTCGTGACGCAAGGGACTTTATGAATATTTGTATACTGAAACACTTACCTGTAGACTGTGTGAAAAATAAGGACACAACAGAAGAACATGCAGGAATGCTCAAGATAACTAGTAGATGTTCATCAATGATTTAGTATTTTGTAACATTTTTCCTTGTGAATGTTACAATTAGAATAATGAAAATATAATGAGATTTACAATCAGATTCTCTCTGATGTATGAATAAAGATGCTACTTTTTGTCGTAATGAAAGTACTGGTAGAAGTTTTATTCCAAATACTATTATGGATGTCATTATACAAAAAATTATACAAAATATATACAAAAAAGAATATCACTTTACAAATAATATATAAAATAGACTGTAACTATACAATATATATATATATAATATTTTATTCCTATACAAAAAATAAAAAAAATAAACTGTCGCTATACAAAATAGTTGTCACTATACAAAACATATACAAAAAAGACTGTCACTATACAAAAAATATACAAAATAGAACTTGTATATTTATACAAAAAAATAATATACAAAATAAACTGTAACTATACAATTTATATATAATATTTTATTCCTATACAAAAAATAAAAAAAATAAACTGTCGCTATACAAAATATATACAAAATAGATGTCACTATACAAAACATATACAAAAAAGACAGTCACTATAAAAAAAATATACAAAATAGAACTCGTATATTTATACAAAAAAAAAATAGATCGTCACTACTGTATATACAATTTACATACAATAGACTGTGACTATACAAAAAATATACAGAATAGATATCACTATACAAAAAATATACAAAAATAGATGTCACTATACAAAAAATATACAAAATAGATGTCACTATACAAAACATATACAAAAGGACTGTTACTATACAAAATTATACAAAATAGATCGTTGCTATACAATTTATATACAGTTTAGTTGCCCCCCAAACTTCATTCATAAAACTTCCTATAACAACTTAGCAACACCACAAAACCTGTCGAAACAAATTATCTGTATAAATTACAAAACTAAAACTATAGAAAAGTCAAAACTACACAAAATCTGAAACTTACATAATTTCACTATTAGCCGAAAACAAATAAGTCGCAATTAAAAGTAATATTCAACATTAGCATTTCAAACATATTGTTCAAAAACATCCCAAATAAAAAGCATAAAACGTGATATAAGTATGCAACTGTATTCAATCATAAGACAATATCATAACCAAACTACTTCATCTTAAAACTACATGTGAATTTTCTGCTAAACTATCCCAAACTACTTTTTCTTGCCCTTCAACTTGCCTTTTTTCTTGATATCCTTCAAAGTCTCGTCATCACCAATGGCACGCGTCTTGCCCTTTTTCTTGTTATCTTTCAAAGCCTTGTCATCAACAACGAAATGCGACTTGACCTTTTTCTTGTTATCCTTTAAATCCTTATCATCAACAACGGAATGCGACTTGCCCTTTTTCTTATTATCCTTTTTGGCCAGATCCTTCAATCTACCAGTAGACTCGGCATCACTAAGTGCATGTGCTCTTTGTTTCTTCACTCCATAATCCCATAGCAATATACCATATCGGTTCCGTATCCCATCAATATCAATAGCTTCAGGAATATTGCTGCCTTGAATGATGTACTCAGCAAATACCGCAACATAAACACCACAGTCACTACATACAAGGTCGCACATAAATGAATAAGTTAGTATAATATCCAAATAGGAATTCATGTACAAAAAAATGAATAATAATCAGAAATATTCAATAATAACTTACGTGTTATCTTGCGTTGGCAACCCATCAATGACATGAATCTCAAAAGGATCAATGGTGGGGATTCCCATAGGATTCTCCTTTGTGTCCAAAAAACCAATACGATGAAGGAAATATGGGAGCAACACTGAGTATGGCTCAATTGATCTCCGAACTGTACTATTCTGCCGCGCGCCACTCATGGAATCGTATATATAAATGCGCAGATCTTTGAATGACAGTCTCGCCAATATCCAGTACCACTTATCAGACAGATTTATTGGGAAAAGGACTTCATCAATAGTACACCAAGGAACATTATATCTTAAAAAATACTCAAGTATATACTCAACAATTGGATCTGTTTCAGTAATCAAATTCATGTCTCTCTTTTTCTCCAAAAACTTCTTGTATAAATTTGAAATCAAGCAGTTAAACCAATAGTCGGTAGTTGTGAATCTTACTGGAACATCAACACCGTACTTCTCTTTCTTTCTCAAATAGTAAAAAATAATATCAATATGCTGAAATATAAAGAATAAACACACATTGTCAGAAAATTACAGTATGAGAAAACTAAAATGTATATTTTATGTATAAACCGATTATATATTTTACAGAAGATACTGCAAATATACATAAAAAGATACTCTTCCAAGTTGATACTATGTCTTCTATTGCCATTATTGTTCTAGTCCTTTCTTTCACCTACTATCCATGGGTTACCGAGTCTCATTTCTCATTTTATTACAGATATAATCTATATGTAATTATATAACGATCCGACCGGTCGTTTTGAGTATTAAAACCCCATTTTCCCATTTACTGCTCAAATTGGGCTTTACAGTTGTTGTGTGACTTGCCGGGGTAATTGGTTCGGGTCCGGTGAGGTTTTGGAATGAATTAGAATACTTAGTTTCAAGATTTAAAGCTTAAGTTAAAATAGTGACCGGATATCGATTTATGTGTAAACGGCCTCAGAATTTAATTCTGATGATTCCAATAGCTCCGTATGGTGATTTTGGACTTAGAAGCATGTCCGAAAAATTATTTGGAGGTCCGTAGTGGAATTAGGCTTGAAATGCCGAAAGTTAAATTTTTGGGAAGTTTGACGGGGGGTTGACTTTTTGATATCGAGGTCGAAATCCGATTCTGGAAATTGGAATAGCTTCGTTATATCATTTATGACTTGTGTGCAAAATTTGAAGTCATTCCGGATTGATTTGATGTACTTCGGTATAAGATATAGAATTTCAAAGTTCAAAGTTCATTAGGCTTGAATTGGGGCATGATTCGTGGTTTTAGCATTTTTTGATGTGATTCGAGGCTTCGAATAAGTTCGTATGATGTTTTAGGACTTGTTGGCATATTTGGTTGAGGTCCCGAGGGGCTCGGGTGAGTTTCGGGGTGGTTTCGGATTATTTCTAGGCCATTCTTAGTTGCTGATTTTTGGCCACAGAGGTATACATCGCGATCACGGACAAATGGTCGCGATCGCGAAGAGCAATTTTGCTGTTTAGGCACGGTGAATCGCGATCGCGGAAGCCTTTTCGCGATCGCATAGAGGAAAATCCTGTTGCACTGATCCGATTTTGAAAAATTATATCTCGTAATCTATAAGGAATTTGGAGATTATCCAAAAATAAAAGTTGTAGCCCTTTGTGTCTAATTTTCAGAAATATAAACTATGTATCATTTGGAATTTTGTACAAAAAGTTATGGTGAATACACTATAGTCTGTCCGGGAAGAGTTTGGAAATCTCTGTTGCAGAGGGCTAACTTTGGAAGCTTATATCTCGCAATATATGAAGAATTGGGAGATGTGCAACAAATGAAAGTTATAGCTCTTGATGTCTAGTTTTTAGAAGGTTAAACCATTTATAATTTAGAGTTTTGTACAAAACATTATGACCATTATACTAGAGGTTGTCTGGAAGTGCTGGGAATTTGTTCTTCGTGATCGCGAAAGGCAAATTTTGGGCTGAAAATTTTTGTGCTTCGCGATCGTGAAGCATTTTCCGCGATCGCGAAGAGTAAATGCCTTGACAGAAGATATATTTTGAGGTTTCGGCCATTTTAACACATTTGGAGCTATGGAGCTCGGATTGAAGCATTTCTTTAGGCGATTTTCACCATATGGATGGGGGTAAGTGATTCTAACTCGATTTTGGTTAAATTACACGAATCTATTATTGTTTTTATCAACAAATTAGTGTTTTGGGTTGAAAATAGTAGAAAAATTCATAGACTTTAATTGAGGATTTGAAGGCCAAGTTTGTGGTCGGATTTGAGTAATTCTGGTATGGTTGGACTCGTGATTGAATGGGGGTTCGGATTTTGTGAGTTTTATCGGATTCCAAGATGTGGGCCCCACAGGTGATTTTTGGGACGGAATTTCATATTTTTAGAAAATATTAGCATTTTAATATGGAATTAATTCCTATAATTTTTTTTAGCTGAATCAAATTAATTGTGACTAGATTCGAGCCGTTTGGAAGTTATACGCGCAGAATGGAATTTCTGGAGCATTGCTTAGCTTGCTCGACATTGGATTTGGCTTGTTCGTGGTAAGTAACTCTTCTAATTTTGGAGCTGAGGGTATGAACCCTGAATATATGTAATATGTGAATTGTTGGAAGGTGACGCACATGCTAGGTGACGGGCGTGTGGGCGTGCACTATAGAAATTGTGACATAATTGTTTCTGTAGAATTTTGTAGTTAAATAATCTTGGCATTTTTCATGTGGTTTTATGTGTTAAAGAAATTGAGCTGAAAAGCATATTAAAAATCATGTTGAGGCTATGTGCCAATATTATTGGGACCCACAAAGGTCATATTGCTGTGAATTATTTATTTTAAATTGAAAATTATACTCAGTCATATTCATGTCATTACATATCATATCTCAGTCTCTGTTATTATTTATTGATACATCATATCATCATTTTTGGGCTCTTTTCATGACATTGTGAGCCCATGAGAGAGAGACTGGAGAGATTGATGACTGAAAGAGGCCGAGGGCCAGATTGTGGGGATTATTATGTGGATCGGGGCTGCCCGCCCACAGCAGGCCATATTGGCTTTATATATATTATACTATTGCACGTGAGTTGGCCGTACAGCACATGAGTTGTCCGTGCGGATACATATATTATAGTATTGCACGTGAGTTGGCCGTGCAGCACGTGAGTTGGACGTGCGGATCCAGATATTATTATAGCACGTGAGTTGTCCGTGCAACACATGAGTTGTCCGTGCAGATCCAGATATGATATTATAGCACGTGAGTTGTCCGTGCAACACATGAGTTGTCCGTGCAGATCCAGATATGATATTATAGCACGTGAGTTGTCCGTGCAGCACTTGAGTTGTCCGTGCTTATAGTACTTGGGCTGTAGGAGCCCCTCATGAGTCTGTACATACCCCCAGTGAGTGCAGTCGACTATAAATAGGGATCGGGCTGCACGCCACAGCAGGTATTGTATAGCGCTGAGTGATTGAGTGTACTAAGCATAGTGAGAGAGAATGCGAGACAATGAGATTGAGTACTCTGAGAGTGTGAGTACATGAGTACAATCTCTGAGATACATTGCATTGACATGCACACATGACATATATGCATAGAGACGTGTTTTTCTCATATTGTACGGTATCACATTATTCATAATTTCTCACACATATTGACAGATGGGCATAGTGATGCATTTGTTTTACACGGGTTATTTGGAAAGAAAATGAAACATATCATTTATTATTAAAAGGATTTTGGAAAAATTATTGCTTTCAAACTTATTCATATTTTTGGAAATTTCGGTAAACGATTTGGGTTTTTCACTGATGTACTTGAAAGGAAGAACTATTATTTTTGAAATCATGATTTAGCTGAGTATTTTATCTCTGAGTTACGTCTAGTATTATTTGCTTTATGTTGTTATGGACTGTTGTGGACTAGTGGTTTTGGACCCAACCTTGGTAGAAGCTAGTCACTACTTTCAACCTAAGGCTAGGTTTGTTACTTACTCAATACATGGGGTCAGTTGTACTGATACTACACTTCTGCACATTGCGTGCAGATATTGGCTGTTGTTGTTGACATGCTCGATGGTTGCGGGATTTGAAGATGTACCAGCGTTCCTGTTGTAGCTGTCTCTTGTTCATGGTAGCCTTAGATTTATAAAAGCTCTGTTTATGTATTATTCAAACATACTATGTAATTATTTCATTTTCGCTTTGTATACTCTATTCTTAGAAGCTCATGATTTGTACTACCAGTTCTTGGAAAATGTATAAGGTTAAGATAATTATTTACTTAAATTGCTTTAATAATTATTATTGAAATTGGATAATTGAAAGTTGGCTTACCTAGCGGGTTGGATTAGGTGCCATCACGACTAATTGGATTTTGGGTCGTGACAAATTAAAACATGGATAAAAGAAAAAGAAATGGCATTTATGCTAACAAATTAACATCAATATGCTAAGAATATGAAGAACCATTATAATGTTGACTTACTGAATCACACAAGGGTAGGCCGGGATATGCAAATGTGAAGAACCATTTTTTTCTCCAATATCATCAACTCCAAATTCAAAGATTTTATTTAGCTTATTTTCAATCTCTGTATAAACATTGTCCCTGATGAATCAGGATAAAAAGATATGGTTCATAACACGAAACACGAAAAATAAACAAGAAAAAAAAAGATATGGTTCATAACACGAAACACGAAAAATAAACAAGAAAAAAAAGAAAAAGAAAAAACTGAAACATAAAACTTACGGTGCATTAGTCCTTAAGCCTCTATTGATGAAAGTATTCCACTTACACAATATTCTGAAATCAACAGGATTGTCAACATTTCCTTGAAAATGATACTTTATAGTGAAGATGGACTTATTTGTCAAGATGGGCTTCTTTGACTTAGTTGGCTTATCTTGAGCAACTTGGATGGTGCCACCAGAGTCAAATTTGTTCATGAATGGTGACTTCATGACCCCTGCTGATTTCCTTTCTCTAGGGATCATTTCAGGTGCGTCATGATCAACAACAACTATACGATCTTCCTGCATAGTAGCAATATTTGTATCCACTCCTAAACAATCACCATGTACAATATTTTGATTGAAATACTTCTGCCACCGTCGCCGCCATAATAGCCACCGTGACTACCACCGTGATCAGAGCAGATATTTTGGAAGAAAACATCATTTTTTTTTTATGTTTTGTTTTGTTTTGTTTGGTTTCGTATTGTTCTACGTTGTGTTTCTATGTTGGAAGTGTTAATTGCTAAATTTATAGCGGTGGTTTGGTTGGGTTTTTATCTTTTTTTACCTTGTTTTTGGAAATTTGTGCTTTTAATCCATGGAAAATTGACAAATTTTGATTTTGGGTGATTGCAGTTATTTGAGTCTCGGCATCACTAGTCCAACCATTATCCTCACCAACTTCCTCACAACTATTTTTACCAACAACTTGTACAAAATCCTCCACCAACAACTTGTCACAAAACTTCTGGGTGATTGCAATGATTTTAGGCTCGGCATCCTCAATCAAGGTTTTGTCATCACCAACTCCTTCACTACTTTTACCAGCTTCTATAGAATCCTTCACCACACCTTCCATAACAACAACAGTTTGCTCTAGACTTACCTCAGTATCAACATTTTTCTTTACAACTTTCTCACTGCCAATATTTCTCTTCATAACTTCCTCACTACCAAAATTATTCTCTACAACTTTCTTATCGCCAAAATAATCCTTATGAATATCACCAGTATCATAATGGCCATGACTATCATGATGGTCGTCCTCTTTTCTATTACCCTATTCAGAAAAAAAAAAATATACAAAAAGTTGTAAAAATTATAGTAACAGGTAAAAATAACAAATAAGCATAGTCATGAGAATACCTTTGAAGCATCGCGTTCACCTAGAGCTTTAAAAACCTTTTCAAATGAGGTAATCATTAACTGCTCCAAAGATGAAACCTTGTCATTTACCTATAAAAGAAAAAGTGAAACCGAATATCAATTAAGTTGTCTGAACTGCTCAAAGTCAAAATAGAACTGTACCGTGTTGATTTCACTTCTCAGAAGTTTCAGCTCATTCTCGCTTGAACTCAAGTTACTGGTTTGTGGATCTGTATTCTCATTGTTAATAGGTTGTGATTCCAGCTTATTTTTGGGCTGCTTCTTAGCATTTATTTTTAGGTTGAGTGTTGAAATCACCAACATCATCTCTTGGATTAACTTCAGCATTTTGATCTTCATACACAGGAATAAAATCATACAATTCAAGCCTTGTTTGTTCAACATTTGTTGGGGCAATATTACCAAACACCAACTACAAATAAAAAAAAATTTAGCAATCATGAAATTTTTTAAAAATAAAAGACAACCAATATATTACTTGTAGAAACTACACATCATACAGTTAATTGATATTATGTATTAGAAATATATAATTTATGTATCAGAAATGCATAATTTATGTATCAAAAGTAGATTCATATGTATTTCTACAAAATGTTGTAAACTAAACAAAAATATTTTTTACCTGCTCTTGACTTAAAAGAAAAAATTCTTTTCTCAACCTCTTGAAGGTCACCTTCTTCTTTACAGTCCAGTTTAGTATGCGTGGCACAAGATATTCAATCTGGTAAGCAAGGTTTTTGTGAGTATAGGGGCAGCATTCATAAAACCAATACTTGAATGCCAAAGGCAAACCACCATATCGGTATATCTCTCTCCTGCTACGAACCTTATCCTTCATTAACTCCAACGTAGCATTAAAAACCACTTTTCCCCAAGGAAAAGTCTCAAAATCACCAAATTCAACCAACAGAAAATTATTTTTTATTATCAAATCATCATTTGTAATAGAAAATAGGAAACTGTGAATGAAATACAATATTATAATCTTTTATGCGTCCTCATCAGATTTTCACATCTTTTTTAAAAAACAGTCACTTAACAATTTCTTAGACACTTTCGACATGCTTAGAAAGTACAATTCCATCAACCGACTCAACTTGACAGATTCATAATCCTTATTGAGATCACCATTACACTTTAAACTTGTGATAATACAAAACTCTGCAAGTCTAAAGCGCAACTTGGTGCTATTCACTTTAATCCATAACTCATCATCTTTAGGTGACACCACTTCCCTAAGCAATAGTGAATGAATAAGTTAGTTCTGTATAAAAAATTCGGGCAAGTTCACAAATAACCAAAACACGTTCTTCTAAACATCTCAATCCGCTGATCATCCAAAGTATCTTTCAAATATTTTACTATACTGTAGTTTGTATGCACACTGATACGAGTACTATAATGATCACCCAAAGGAACATAGTAATCCCAAAGCTGCAGACAACACAAAAATATAAATATATATAAGCTTCATAACAATCACAAATACGCACTTTAAATATTACTTATACACTATGTGGATAGATGATACACTTTATATACAAATTGCACATTACTTATTGACTTGATACAAATTATATGCAATATGAAAAAGAATGATATATTTTATATTCAAATCTGGAACATAACTATTATATTGGATAAATTTTCTACATACTAAAATAAACTAAGTGCACACAAGTCAGAGTTATATCATTAAAAAATACCTTCAAATCAGATGAGCTAGAACATTTTTGATCAACATGAACTTTTCTCTTTTTTGATGGAACATCATGCCCATCCATTTTAGCCTTCCTTTTAGAACCTTTACCCTTATCCTTCACAACATCCTTTCCTACCATTTTGATCTTTCTTTTTGAACTTGTGCCTTTTTCAACAACTACTCGCTGATCAGTTTGTAACCTCGTTACTCTATCGCTGGGAATCTCGCTATGTGAACGAGTCTTTCTATCAATAGGGGTACTTTGCATTCCTTCAATAGGGGTATTTTGCATTCCTTCAACAGATTGAGGGGTTGCATGCCCCAAATCGCACCCAAATTCTAGTAAATCTTCAAAATCGTCATCATCATTCCTAATAAAACTAGGGTTATATTTCACTAATTTACCAGCTAATTTCATAGAATGTGGAGATGCCCTCAACTTCCTATTTTTCTTCAAAAACTTCTTTTCCTCCATTATAGAGTCGACTATGAACAAAAATCGAAAAACCTACTAAAATTTTGACTTACATTGAGAGCAAGAATAAACATGGAGAAGCTGTGTTTGAGAAGAAATGGTGTTTCGAGAGGCGGGTCAGTGCATTGAGAGCCGAGTGAAATAGAAAAATGAGTTAAGAGGCGGATCAGTGTATTATGGATTATAAGCCATTAGATGTAATATGTTTGAGCCGGAGAGACATTTCAGGTCCAAGAGAAAAATATGGGCTATTAAAATTTTTAGGGGCTATACAGGGTAGTTTTCTCTTATACTTTTCCATAGCTTTTTGGCCTTTCTGTTTCTTTATTTTCACGTGTTCCAAACCAAGGAAAGCCACCTAAACACTATCATACCCCACTTTAACATTCTATCTTTGTAATTCTTCAAAAGAATCATGCCGTGATTTTTCATTTTTTTTTTTTTTTTGGTTTAAGAATGGAACTATTGAGGTGAATATTTTAAAGGATCCTAATATACATAAATTATACAATTTATATAAATGTATAGTTATATACATAATGATTTTCGTTTTTGATTTTTCCTTCAAATATTATTCTACCCAAACTTGACGACCTTTTTATATGGAATGTTTCATATAATTTTTTAACCATTTTACTTGCCTCTTCGTTGTCGACGTGCATCGTCGCTACTAGGGGTGTCAATGAATATTCGAAAATAGATTAAACTGACCGAACCGTACTGTATCGAATTGATTTTTAGGTTTCTTTTTAAAAAACCGTAGGTTTTTATATAAATCTATAACCGCACTGATAATTACGGTAGGTTTTTTATTTTATAAAAATAAACCGAAAAAATATCGAACCGTACCGAATAAATTTTACATGTGAAAAATATATTTATCTAGTAAGTTTAAAAATAATAATACATTAAATTTTTCTTTGGGACTTGGAACTATGAAAACTATTACAAGCCAACAAGTAATTAAACTCAAAATACTAATTCCTAAAACTTATTATGCTACATCTACTTAAACTAAGTTATTTCAAGTATCTTTATTAGCAAGACACAAAGTATTCTAGCGATAATAAGTAGCAAAATACAATGTATTGAATATGTTTCCTTTCATATAATTTAGATTTATCTCTTTGAATATTTAATCTTCTATAGACTTTATTCTTGAGTCACAGCTTGGTTAATATCTTTCCACTCGTGTGATTTATATTTTTTTTGCCTTTGTTTGGTTTCTTTTAAGTTATTGTAGAATAGTTGATGGATCTATACTCAAGCCATCTTTTATTTTTTTTTAATTCATCACCTTTTAAATAGTAAAAATGTCTAGAGAGTTTTGCTAAGTCCTGTAAAAGAACGTATGCTAGCATTCTACTTCTATTAGTGAATTTTACATGATATTTTAAAAAATATTGAAAAATAACCGAACCGTACTGATACCGAAGAGAAACCGACATGATTGGGTTGGTTTCGAAAAGTCTAATTTTGGTTATACATAATAGAATAACCGAAAAATTGATATGGTACAAATTTTATAAAATAACCGGCCGAACCGAACCATTGATACCCCTAGCTGCTACTGCTTCTTCTTCTTCTTCTTTTTCTTATTATTTATTTTATATTAGTTTCCTTTCATAGTTTTGAAACTTTTTTAATTGAATTATTAATTTAATTTAGTTTATAGCTCTCTTATCTTAATTTTATTTACAGCTAGCGCAAGTTAAATTATGAGTTTAATATTTTAATATAGATCAAATTGATGTTTGTTCCTGTAAAATTTCTAAAATAACTTTTAATAAATTGTAAAATTTGTAAGATAAATAGATCTATTGTTAAAATCTGGATAAATGTTTAAACAAAATTAAAACAAGGCGACTTCAAAACAAAATAAAGAGTAGCGAGCAATGTTTTCTTTAACGTTTCGTTAAGAACCAAAATAAAAGGAGCGAGGTAAACCTTGTATGTTAACTTAGTATTGATTTTAATGTCAACTGATGCTGAGGACTTAGCATATATCTGAACTCGCCTGCATAAAGTTATAGGTCCGCTACTTGAAAAGTATTCTTCAGTCTAATACCTTTTTAGTTTCTTTCTCAAAACAAATCATTTCACATCCTTTTATAAAACCCCAATTCCTCTTCTCCTAACCATTANAAAATTTTAATGGGGCAGGGCAGGGGAGCATCTAAATAGCGCAAGGCGGGGGCGGCAGCGCAAAACTTCATTTTTGGAAAATTCAAATGGGGCAGGGCAGGTAGCCGGTCAAAATATATATATATATAAAGTTGGGAATGAGAAAGGTGATGTGGCACTTCCTATGACCAGCATTGGTATTTATCTATTTTCTCCCTTTTCTATAATTTCTTATTCATTCTACTACATAACAAACAAACCAATTCGGGAAAAGACTATAGTTTTGCTTCTGAAGGGTCGCATTAGTAACGTAAAACACTAACCGTTTGCTTCTGAAAAGTCGCATTGTAATCAATTCCATTTACGCTTCCGTTCTCGGTCGTTCACTGTCTTTTGTCCTCCTCTAATATCTACCCATGCAAAGTGCAATAATTATATTCTAAACAGACCGCCCTACGGGTATGCCTCCAGCTTATTCTGTGTTGCAATATCCTTCTTCTTCAATTCCTAGAATTATTAACAATGATATGATTGCTTAAATTTAAGTATTAATATTATTCTTTGTTGCGCAGTTTTACTTTTGAAGAAATGAAGAGTTTTGACCATTACCAGACATAAATTTTGCGGCACATGCCCCCTCAGGTTCCAGATGCTCATGACTGTTTTGACGTCAATAAATAGACAACGATCATGTATGCATACTCTCCCACTTGAGAATTCATG